CGGCTCAAGGTTGACTCAGCCTTCTATCCTTCCGAGGTCGGTAAAATGAGTACCCAGCTTGCTGGGGAGGCAATGTGTAGCCTGCATAATTAACTTGTAAACCACCCAGAAGCACTATGGGGCGGTATATAAGCAGCACGCTTTGCTTTGCTTTTTGCTTCCAGTCTGCCCCACCGTTCACCCCACTTCACTGCTAAGTATACTAGTGATAATCATGTGTCGCCAAGTCGGTTCTAACTTGTGGCAATGCTTTTCAGGCAGGGTTTTCTAGGTAGAGAGTACAGTACTCAGAAGTGATTTACCATTCCCTTCTTCTGGAGGAACCCTGGACTATGTAGCTTGCCCAAGGCCATACAGGCTGGCTCTGCCTGCAGGAGGCACAGTGAGGAATCAAAGTCCCAACCTCTGGTTCTGCAGCCAGATGCCTAAATCACTGAGCTATCCAGCCAGATTTGCCTTTGTAGCACTGCAATTAAATTTTGCTATTCTATGCTTAACCAGAATCCAGTGTGATTATAATTGTCTTCTGTCTTCCTGGCATTGAATGTGTGTGCGATCGCCACAACATGTTAGTTAAGGAATAGGAAGGTGACAACTGACCCTAGGCGCACAGCTCAACTCTGATGTAATGTTCTGGCCTCATGATATGTTTGGCTCGCTGTGTGCCTTCCCTGACAATACGATGACATAATAGAAAGGGAGAATGGTACCATCATGAATTATCACTTGTCCCTCAGACAACCTCCAGCTTAAAGGAAGGAAGTGCGTCACATGGCACACGGCATGCACAATAGGCAAGGAGGCTGTGGCAGCAGCAATCGTGGCTTTGTCTGCTGAGTCCCTTGACAAAGGTGGAAGTGGCACACCCACTCATGACACACAAGGAGTGGGGTTGCTCCAGTAGTGTCAGTCATAGCTTTGCCTGCTGAGGCTCCTAACTTGCCCATATGGTAGTGACATGTGGGGGGGGGGAATTCCTCCCAGCCATAGGGTGTGTCTGTAGATGGGTTGACATTTGAGGGAGGAGAGGCAGAAAGGGTGTAACTATTATAGAATGGGTATGCAATATTTTGCTTTAGGAATCGCAGTAGAAGATTTGGCATACAGCAGGAAGCAGTGTGAGATGGGCCAGTGTCTGCTTTCCCTCTGAGTTAAGGACATTTGTTTAAACTTCTTTGTGTTTCATTAGTGTTATACATAGTGATGTCATCTCTTATTTATGTCTTGAGCATCTTTCTTTTTAGCCATCTCTCATCATTTTGCCAATTTGCCAATCACTTTCTGAATTATTCCTTTTGCTTCTGTATCTCATTTTGTGTGGCATAAAAGCTTGAACAAATCTGAACAGTGCATGTAAGATGACTTTCTGTAATTTTTCTCATGCATCCTAGTTTGTCCCAAATTTTCCAAGGAACGCTCAGTATAAGAACCAATTGAAGAATCAAAATGAGGGTAAAGAATAGAATAATTCTTAGTTGGCTGATACCATTTTTAAAGAATTGCTTATACTTTTATACCACTGTAAAAGGGCAAATAGAGCCCATGGAATAATTATACACTGGCCTAATATTTCCAGTATACGTCCATTATATATCTTATATATAAACATTTGTTTCCCTGATATCTCAGCTAGGTCATTTAGACTTGTGTTTCTGACCTTTGGGCCAGACAAAACTAGTTTCAGTTTCAAGAAACTACAATACTTGCTGTCTTGTTTTGAGTGTGAAAAGCATGGCAGTGCTCTCACAAATACTGTTCTGTACACCCATTTGTAAATGCAGCATTATACTTCCGTATATCTTTTCTGACCCTTGGGATTGGATTACACACATCAATAGTCTCTCACTAATTCCTCTGCTTTATTTCTTCTGAAGCCTGTGAGGCTTAGGCATTACAGTAAATACTTTTGTCACATTGCAGCATTTCCTCTTTCTCATGTTTTTATTTTGCTAACCATTCGGAGTAACTGTTAATATGATTGATTCATTTTCCTTCCTTGTGTGAAAGATAACAGTAGCCACTTGGCTGACATAAACTTCTGCTGGTAAAGGGGAACAGCCTGTGGCAATATCTCTTAAAGTAGGTGGCAGCATCTGGTTCTACCATTCTTGTGTAGGTCATAAGTGCTGGATAGCTCAGTGGTTTAGGCATCTCTCCCTATATCTCCTTTATAGGGATTAGGCTGTATGATCCATAGGGTGCTGTCCAGCTCTGCAGTTCTAAGATGATGGTGGTGATGATATCTCAAAGTGCCCATAAAAAATAGCATGATAGTATGAATACCTTTACAGAACATTCCTGGGCATTAACCACTTGGATGTGAGTTTCACTGAGTTCAGTAGGATCCTTTTCAACGTAAGTTCTGTACAAATGTGAATTATTACCATGAAACTGTGGTAGCAGAAACAAAGTGGAGTGTCCATTTTCAAGCCACTGTATCAATTTGAGGAATGTACTGGGTTTTTTAAGAGTCTAATCATGTACTTTGCATACAGAAGGCATCTCCAGCTAGGATTGGGGAAAACTCCTGTCTGAGTCAGGGGAATCACTACTATCAATCCACTTGCAACTGGATGGACCAGTTGTATGATCTGATATAAAACAACTTTTATTTAACTAAGGTGGTGGTTTTGCCTTTGTGTTCTAACAAAACAGCCCTGATCCAGTAGTTCCAGCACATATGCAGAATCAGTTCCACTCCTTTTTTATGGTTTCAGTATTTTGCTGTGGGGAGCATGCATTCCTATGCAAGGTTACGCTGTACAGCTCATTCTCAGTAGTTCTAATGAACTCCAGTTTGGTGTCAGTTCTAAAATGCACCAACTATGAAGGGCTGAGTGATCTGTCTGTGTCAGAAGGCTTTCACCAACATTTTATTCCCTTCAAGGGAAGCAGTGTTGATTCCTTCCTATTAAAACAGTGCTTATTCATTTAATAATCTTTTAAAATATATTTTCCATATTTTTCATTCAGTATTGTAAGGAGGAAAGAGCCAAATGAAAGATAAGAATAAAAACTTATAATGCAGTTGGCTTTCCAGAGAGAGAAATAGATTTCTTGAGCTCTTTGTTCTAGCTAAGGTGCTGATCAGCAGTTCTGCAGAGAGCTGGCTAAACCATGCAGGACAGAGAAATCATGATGTAATCTTCCTTTCTTTGCTGTGATAACTCTCTCTGGCCCTCTATCTCCCCCTTATTGTTTGTTGTTTCTATTTTAGGGTGTGAACGGAATGTCTGTGGATGAGAAGACTGAATCCCCCATGTATGTGTATGAGTCAACAGTCCATTGTACCAATATCCTCCTGTGCCTCAATGACCAGCGGAAGCAGGATATTCTCTGTGATGTGACTTTGATTGTGGAGGGGAAAGAGTTCCGAGCCCACCGGGCTGTGCTGGCTGCGTGCAGTGAATACTTCTTGCAGGTGTTGGTGGGGCAGACGGAAAATGACCTGGTTGTCAGCCTGCCAGAGGAGGTACAGTATGCTGTCATTCTTCAAACAAAAACATTCTGGAATAAGCCGCCTCCACCCCTTATAGTCCGCTAGTTGGAAAGCAGTGAAACTTCAAGATTTCGAAAAGATACATCTCATGGTCCCTCACGAGATTGTCTGAGTGATTGATAGTCCTAGGGGAGGAAATAGGAAATGATGTAGTATCAGGCTCCCTCTACTCTATAGGGCAAGACAAGAAAAAGAAATAGAACGTGCTAGCTGAGAGCAAAGAGATGTTGAACAGGAAGGAAGAGTAAAAAGAGGGGCAGAATCAACAGGAATGAGCACTGTGAAGTCAGTCCTTCACAGTGTTTCAAAAACAACAACAACTGAAGTCCTTAAGACAACTTCTAGTGATTTTGGGGGGAGTCACACATACCAAAATAAAAATTCTCCATGTGTGATCACAGAAAAGAGGCAGTTAAATCTACTACCCTGGAGCTGTTTCTTGGGAAAACCCTACAGAATTTCTTTTTAAAAAAAACTCCCAATATTTTACATTGGCTGGGACAACAGCATTAAAAAAACACCCCACCAGCAAAAACTAAGAATTAATGGGTTTAGGGGATGGTGTGTGTTTTTTCCATTGGGCTGTACAGGTTAATATGTTACTCTAGCCAGAGCTTGGAAGGTGCAGTTACAGGTACTGTAATCTCTAAGAGGCTCAGGGAGAGGGAAAGTACAGAATAAAAAGCAACTAAGAGAACAGGGTACTCAATGGGCCCTCTTGCAGGCTCTAGATGTGCTGCTTTGTAAAGAAAAGCAGTCTCAAAGACCAAACTTCCTGAGTCAAGACTGGGTGACTGGGATTTTGTTTGGATGATACTTGAGAATAATTGAAATGCATTGCTGTAAACATCCCTGCTTGAATGCTACAACATAGCTGTTAAATGTCTCAAATTTCGTATTTTAGTCAATATATTATCATACTACATGTTTTTTTTAAGAAAGAAGTAATTCTAATGCTCCTGGTGGTACACAAATTTTATCTAATCTTAGAATTACATTTTTTTAAATTTTGCTTCCCATATGTCCGAAGTCCAGGGAAAAGGAAAGATTCCACAATAGAATTCCTTCCCATCTGTTAATGAGTTGGGGGTTCTGATCATCTTGAGGGGATGAAAGGAGAGGGAGGTGTGGCAACTACTCATTTAAGGGTTTATTTTATACCAAGTGAGCTCTCTGTTTTCCTTTTCAGAGAATCTGGGCATGGATAAAAGTTGAGTAGATAGAGTGATGGACTAGACCTCAGGAGGCCTTGGTTCAGATCCCCATTCAGCCATGGAAAGTGATAAAATTGCTCTTTAAGTATCTCACGTACCTTGGACGTTGGTTCTGACTTGACAGCACATAACATGCAGAATCACACATGGTCAATATTCCCTTCAACCTGTGCACATGCACGCTTGCCCAGAGTTCCATCAGGGTTGCGTATAGGCAGCCAGTTTGTTTATTTCCTGTTTTGAGTGAGGCCCTACCCACTGCCACTCACATGTAGTGAGGCTCCCATGCAATAGGGCAGAAATTTAGAGGGAATGTTGCACATGGGCCAAGATACACCCAGAAATGGAAAAAGCCTACTATGTTGTAGTGTGAAAATATTGACAGAAAAATCATTTGGGCTCTGATGAACACATATCCACAAGCATCGTCTTTCAGGCCAGAAAAGAGGATGATTCACATTATATCCATGTCAGTCTGTGGAAAAAAAAATTAAGTCAGAAACTGGCCTCTTTTGCCTCAGACATGAATGGATGCCAAGTTGGGTCTTCTTTATTCATTCATTCATTCATTCATTCATTCATTCATTCATTCATTCATTTAACTTATATTCCTCCCACTCTACCCAAAAATCTCTGGGTAGCTTACAACAATTAAAATTCAATTAAAATACAATAAAATATAAAATGATTAAAATACAATTAAAATAGATACTCTAAATATTGAAGTGGAAGTGTATTGTTTGGTTTCCTCCTTTTCCTCATGCTTTCTGCCTTCCCATACATGTTTCTACCAGTGTTCTAGTAACATAGCCCTTAGGAAGACACTGGCCAGTATCCTGTTGCATAGCTCTGGCCATGCTGTGGGAGTGATGTCGCTGACTGCAGCAGATTGCTTCTAATTGAAGAGGGGTTTTTTTTTTCAGTTTCAGAGTGTGCATGAATGGCCACAATGACACAAAATCATGGGCACTCCTAACTCAAGTCCAGTGCACCCTCTCATAGTAGGAGATTGTTGACCCTGCCTCACCTTTATTTGTTGCATGAATGTTCATCTGATGTTAAGGATTGGTTTACCCAGGAACCTATTAAACTCCATGTGGCTCTGCTTTATTGCTTAACTATATAGACACCACAATGTTCTTGTCAAATTTTATGCTTCAGTTGAATATTAGTGCATAACACTTCGCAAAATATTTTGCACATATAAATGCCTACTTTAGAATAAATGGCTCTAGTTCAGATCACTTCAGATTAAAGATAGGCACTGCTTTCGGATAAATGTGTGAAAATGAGCTGAATTTGGGTATTTTCCCATTTCTGGAGTGACCATGGAGTCAATCAGAGAGCCCAGGGTGGAACAGGACATTTATAGACCCCTCACAGTAAAGCCAAAAGTCAGATGCTAAGATTAGAACTGGGGAAAGTGGAAGAAAAAGTCAGGAAGATGATGAGTTAGCAATAAAAGAAAATACAAATATAGTCTTTATCTTAGAAATTAAGATATCTTTCCTTTCCTGCTGCAAAATCATTGATCATTTTACCAAATTGTACACTGTGGCCACAACACCACAAATTTTAGATCTGAGAAGAGAAATGTGGGGTGAGAAAGAAAGGATCGTGTAGGAGCACAGTCTTGCCTGCATTGCCCTTGGGACACAAAACCAAGGAAGATCATCCCCATTGCCCTTTCAATGTCATCCACACGGTCCCTTTGTGGTGGGTGGGAGCTTTATGAGGGCTTTCTCTTTGCAGCTGGGGAAAAAGCGAAAATAAAATAGAATAGCCAACTTTATAGACAGCTGCTGCCTGGTAAAAAGCTGTTCTGCTCTCCTTTGTTGGAAATGGGATTTTCCAGAGAACGAGAAATGTTTAAAACTCCATTTTAACCAATTTGTATTTGTTTCACAGATTGTATTCTATAGCTAGTGTAGCATAGCAATTAAGAGGGTGAGCTTTGAGAAGCAGAGTTCCATTTCATATCTTAGTTGAGGTCTTAAATAAACCATGCCTTGGTAATTAATAACGTGGTAATTAATAATGTGGAAATTATAAATAATATTAGCCTGCCTTGTCCCCCTTGGTGGGGAAATATATGTAACAGCAAGTCCTTCAAGTGCATATAGAAATATCCAAATACTGTAGTGTTTAGAATCAGCATTACTCTTACTTAATAGTGGTAGCCTCGTTGCACAGTGGTTAAACTGCTGTACTGCAGCTGAAACTGCTCACGACCTGCGGTTTCAATCCCAGGTAGCCGGCTCATGGTTGACTCAACCTTCTATCCTTCCGAGGTTGGTGTCGCAATCTCCTCTGAAGTCCCTATCCCCCCAGGCCTTCACAAGGTTCTCGCTCTTCTTTCTTGTTCGCTGCCACCAGATATTAATGCTTTAATATCAGATACATATAGAGACAAGTGTGCTGGTAAAAACTTAAAGCTTTTATTTGATCAGGGAAGTTATTAGATGATAAATATTCATTAGATCAATCACAGGCTGCCAATCATTTATATTTGGATCTCATCAGATACCGCTTCAAAACTCTCTTAACCCTCTGTTCCAATCTACATTCTTACAGATCTCTAACTCACTCTCTAGTCACTTTCAAGATACACACAGTCTCTTTCTCCCAGATTCTCCCTCATACTCCATACGTCTTTATATACAGCTCCCTCCCCCCTTGCCTCCACCTTCCATCCACTCATTGGCTCCTTCTTCAATGTTCTGCGGTGACGGACAGGTGAGGGCACGGCTGATCACTACAGTTGGTTAAATGAGTACTGTGACGGACAGGTCAGGAACCACTCCTGTCCATCACAATGGAACCCTGATTCAGGAGCCAATGGCTTTACAGAAAAGGCGGGACTAAGGATATATAAGAGAATGGATGACAGTTAAAGAGCAGTTTGGAGTTTGAGAGGATTTCAGTTAGAGAGTTAGGGATGAGTTAGGGACTTCAGTTAGAGAGATGCAGTTCATGCAGTTAGGACCAGCCTTGTGTTAGAGAAGAGTAATAGAGAGATAGGGGATAAGAAAAGAAATGAATAAATACTTGAAGTAACATGATTCTATCTAAGCAAATATAAATGTTATAAAAGCACAGTTGATTGCATGAATAAAATAAGACCTATGATTTACTTTACATGATTTACTTGTGAACACTTTAATAAACATTGTTCAATTGAATAACACTGATTGAAGAGTATTTGATATAGTGAGGAATATCTCCTCTGGTGGCAGTGGAAAAGGATTGAAAAATAAATGTCACACCCAAAAGTGAACCTGGGTTGTGTGGAGAAACAAACAGGGGAATGGGTGCGTGACAAGTACCCAGTTCATGGGGGGGTGGGGAATGTGTAGCCTGCATAATTAACTTGTAAGCCGCCCAGAGAGTACTTTAAGCACTATGAGGGCAGTATATAAGCAGCACACACTGCTTTGCTTTGCACTATCCTTGGGATTTCATTGATGAGCTTGTTGTCTTTGGTCTGATTTCCTTATCTGTAAAATGGCCATTATAAAGAGGATTGTCATGAAAATCATGTATATCATCTGTTCTGATCTACAGGGAAGCATGTCGAATTTTTCTAAAGGTGTGTTTTATGTTTATTGCTGTTGTTTGGTATTAGATTAGGAATGCAATCCAATGGTCCTTGGAATGGTATATAATAAACATGGGATATGTCCAGTTTCACTTCCGCTTTCAGAGACAAGAGCTCCTACCACAGAGGAGAAGATACAATCTCATATCCCTTCTTTCTGC